CCCTCCCCCCGAGCGCCGGCGGCGGGCGCTGAATGAGAGACGCCGACTGCTCGGCCGGGCGAGCGCTGCCTCGGAGCCGCGGGCGACGCGGAGGCGACGGCCCGGGCGGCCCAGGTTCGGCGTGGCGGGGCGGCCGTGCGGGCAATGGCGGCGGCCGCGCTGCGCGGCGCGGGAGGGAGGGAGGGACGGACGGGAGGGGGAAGGCGGGCTGCGGGTCGCTCGCGGTCCCGCGGCGGCGGAGGCCCCGGCGTCGCCGCAGCAGCCTCCCAGGTGGGCCGGGGCCGGGCCCCCGCCGCGCCGGCCACACCCCCTCCGGGGCCCCGCGCCTGCACCCCCGCAGCGAGCCGGGGCGGCTGACCTGTTGCGGGGCCGAACGGGTGAGCGGTGCCGCCGAGGCCGCGCGCCCACCCGGAGGGGGCCCTCCCGCAGCGCCGCGCCGCGCCATCCGCCCGCGGCGTCCGGGATTCCTTTGCAGCGTGGGCTCCGGCGGGCTCGGAAGCACCGGGCTCGGGAGGTGATGGGGAGCCGGCCTGGAGGGGAGCCGGGACCCGTGCGCCGCCGCGGCTCCCCGCCCCCCTCGAAGCGCTTTTCCTGCCGCCGTGTGCGGTGGAGACGCAGGCGGGTTTCAGGGTGCGTGGGCGTGTTTGGGAAGACGCTGCGAGCTGATAGGAGGCACCTCAGTACGAGTGCTAATTTGTTTGAGCTGGGAGGGGTGAGGGAGGGGAAGAAGGGGCCCCGCGGTGGCTGTGGAGGAGGGGCGCCCGCCGCCCGCCGCCTCTCTGCGGAGAGCACTCCTCCGGAGCATCCAGTGCCTATTGTTTAGGGTCGGGGGAAGAAAACACGGGCGGCCGTTTGATTGCGCCTTCCTCCGTAGGTGCTCTGCATTTTCCTCCCTCCCCCCAAGTAGCTGTAGAGCCTAGTTTCTGTGCCGGTGTTTGTGTATGGGCTGACTTTGGTGGTGTTTGATGTTTACCATCCGGTGGACCCGAGGTCGCGCGGCTTTGAAGATGACGACCATGAGCATTTTGAGTAACTTTTCGTTTCTTGCATGCAGGAGTGCCGCAGTGCCACAGTTCATAACTTGCAAACTGTAAAGCCTGTCTCACCCAGATATGATTGCTCGGGCTGTAGCATCACAAATATAGTAAGTGTAACGCTGTTACTGTTGTAGTGGGGGTTTATCAGCAAACTGTGTTATTTTAATAATAATAACCTCTAGTGAACGTGTGTAGTCTTGAAGCTTTGAAATGTGGAAAATTGCTTGTCTTAGCCGCATATATACGTTAAGTGTGTTTATTAGAGTTCCCTTGAATGGTTTAAGTGTAGTTTTTTTTTTAAGCTTTGAATCCTGGCGTAGTAATTTTGAAATAGTAAGAGCTGTCTTCCTCCCCACTCCTTTATGTCTCCCCTTGCACTGGTTTCAGGAATTTGACGTTTTCCAGAAATACTGTTCTGTTTGTCTTTTTACACCACATTGCAGAAGAAGTTGAAATATTTGCGTGTGTGTCAAGATCACAGTATACTTTTCTGACACTACAGTAACTGAAACTACAATTTAGAAGTTAACTGTGAACCAGGTGTGCTTGAGTAATGCAGTTTGTGTGCTTTTAGATACGAGAGTATCTTTTTTAGTTTATTATGACCTTACGCTTACAGTTGGGACAGTGGTTGCCTGCAGCGAAAGATGGCTTTGTTGGAAAAATTAATTTGATTGCAACTGGAAAGTTTGTTTTGTTTTGTTTGGAGACATGGTCTCACTGTGTAGCGCTGGCTGCTCTGGAATTCATTATGTAGACCAGGCTGACTTTGAACTCATGAGATCTGCCTGCCTCTGCCTAGGAGTGCTGGCATTAAAGGGATTTAAGCTTTTGTCCAGAGGCTAGATTATTCTACACACATTGAGTACCTGCTTTCTGCTGTAGTCTTGATAGACGTGGAGGGGGGTGCAGAATAAAACCAGATGTGTGCCCTGATGGAGATAAAATGCTAAGTGAGCAGGCCTACTACTAAAGTTGAAGAAGTAAAAATGCATGATGCCTTTTGAGTTAGAATATTGCCTGCATTTTTTCTTCTCAGAGCAGTGAACAAAAGCGTCAGGACCGTTGTCTTAAACTATGCTTCCATTTATGTACATTGGGTATCTGGTTTCCAAACATACTCAAAATATATCTGGAGTCAGAGGGTGTTGTGGTTTGTATGTGGCTAAACAATTGTACTTGTGGTTTATAAACTTAAATGAAAGGTTTGCTGATACCCTTCTCTCGGTGTCTGTCTGTGAGAATCTTTAAGAAAAGTAAAACACCGTCCTCCCTGCACTGAAACAGTACTCTGTCACTCTGTTTTAAAAGGAATGTCTTCCTGGAAGTGAAAAATCTGATGAGAAGTCATCATTTTATGCTGTGATTAATAATCAATGTGATATACATTGGTGTAGAGCTTTGTAGATTTCAGTGACCTTTACCCTCTGTAGGCATAATTCTCACCATTTCAGAGTGGGAAGCCAGTTGTCAGGAAGCATGCAGTGACCCGGTCGCAGACCCTAGCTCTTACTAGGCCGTGATGTTCCACAGCCGAAGTGTGGAGGTCTGAGAATTGCACACCCGAGCATTTAGTGTGCGCCTGGTCTCCAGAAGCTTCCAAGAAGCTTTGAAGTGCCAGCCTATTAATTGAAATTGACCCTGTTGACTCTAAAAGTACTGCTTTCATTTGGGATGAAAAATGAACACATGTAAACTTTTGAGAATAAAATACATTAAAATGGATTCTGGTTTTTGTTGTCTAATCTTCACTTGTGAAAAAGTTACTTCTGTCTGCATTTTACTCTTTTTAATAGTTACTTAGTGTTCAGTGAAAACATAATTCAGATAGCTTGAAATGACTTGAGCGTTGGTAGGTCCCTTGGAAGAGAGAGAGTTTATTGCATTACCCTATAATTACTTCCTTAAGTGTGGTTTAAATTCCCATTAGTTCCTTTTTAGTGAGAGAATGGAGATTGGATATGATAAAATTTCAGTATTTTTTAATTAATCTTTACTCTTTATTTTTCATGCCTCATAGTTTTATTTTCTTTGGTTCCCAAGTGTTATTTAAGAACTCGTTCTGAATATTCCAAATGGGTTTTAATCATCAACCTCCTCCTCCCTTCTCCCTTTCCCTTTCCTCCCCACCTCCTTTCTTAGAGAAGTACCTGACACACAATGTTCAGTTATTGGTCAGAGATTATGGGCAGAGAGGAAAAGCAATTGATGTTAAATGATATGACCACTTCATTCTTTTTTTAAAGTTACTACTTTAATACAGCTGTACATGGAAAAAAGTTACGCTGCAAGACTTTGAATAAACCCTTTTGTCCCCTCCCTCATCTCTTCCAGACTTGCCTCCTCGGTCCTGCTCACACAGCTTCAATTTTTGACACCATTAGTTGTTTCTTCTGAGACTTCGTCTTTTTTTCTTTCTTCTGATACTTCGTCTTTTTTTCTTTCTTCTGGCATGAGTACATGGTTCTGCAGTTTTGCTTGTCAGCTTTAGTGTTTTCTGGTTTTTTTTTTTTTTACAATGGCTTTACTTTAGGGTACCTTTGCTACCTTGAACTTCTCTATTGTATTATGATTGTGATGTCATACTTTTGATTACATGTTCATTGGTTACATTATTATGGTTCTGTAAAAATATTTAACAGTCGAACTGTGCAGTATACTATGATTGAATTTATTGGCATTAGATTCTTTTGTATTTTTTCCTTACTTTCTTATTTGTCTTTTTTAATCTCTATAGTTTATCCAAATCTACAAGCACATAGGGTGATAGATATTCAAACTTTTTAAAAGTTAGGAAAGTTCCTCCTGAGGCCACTGCTTTTGCTCAGATGTGCAGTGTGCTTTGCAGAGTCTGTGGCTTCCCATCATTGTGCTTCTCACGGTGTCCTGGTTGACTGTGTCGGAGCCTGCGCTGGCTGGATTCAGGTCTTCCTCTTTTCTCAGTTTATTTTCTCATTTGGGAGAGTTGCATCTTTTGTTGATGTAAAGGTGGCTCACACTTAATAATTCCAGCTCTTGAAAGCCAAGGCAGGAGGATTGCTGGGAGTTCCAGGCTGGTCTGGGCCAAAGCGTGAGACTGTTTCATAACAAACACAATATGTATGACAAGGTGAACTTTTTGAATTGTTTATGTTGCTGAAGATACTTTGTTCTACGTTGATCGCTGTCTGGGCTAGGTTCTGAATGAAGATGATAATTTTTCCTTGCAGTACAAGGGACCACTGTGAGATAGAAGGTGTTGCTGTATGGTTTCCTGCCTCTAAGCACAACTGTTGAAAGGTCTGTGCCGTTCAGAGTTTTCTTCCTTTATGCATGTGACATGGCCTTGAGATTTTTTCCTTGTCATCAGGATGTCTGATGTAACCTTGGTATTTTATGTGTCCTTGAGTCTTCATTTCTTATGCATGGGACTTCCCAGGTCACGTAGCCAGTGTGTTTTAAAAGAGCTGGGTGGAAAGCGGTGAAGGTAGAGAGCCATATAGTCTTTGTACACTAAGACCCAGTTTGCTCCTTGGAAGAGTGTGGAAGCAGCTGCAGCTGGCTTGCAGGTGGCTTGCAGGTGGCATGCAGGTGGCATGCCTTGTAGTTTCCAAAGCCTTGATCCAGCTTTGCATTTGCTTTACCGGTAGCACTTGCTACTATAGAAATGGGAGAGAAGACAGAATGTGGAGAGACTTGATGGTGACAGCTTCAAATCTCACCTGAGTGTTTCAGCTGAGAGTAAGGAGGAATGGGAGAGAGTGTAACAGGTTTGAGAAGAAAATAAATGATGACATCAGAGTGATGGAAGACTAGGGCAGGAATGGTAGTGTGGTTGCAGGCTCACCTGAAGAGATCATTTCCACATTTTGTAAGTTCCTTGTGCCTGTGTGTGGATGTCTTTGTTCCACGCTTCTCCCTCGTTTAAGGAAGTATCTGTTGGCTACTGCCTACACGAGGGTTGCTGTCCTGCTTTTAGGGTTCTCTTGTCTCTGCTCCCATCCTGCCTTGGAGCTTTGTGATTACAGATGTGCACTGCTCTGTCCAGCTTTAGGTGGGTTCCGAGGATTCGAACTTAGATCTTGTGCTGCAATTTTACCCACTGAGCCATCTTCACAGCTCCATGAATTTGTGTTCAGAACTTTAGTAGCAATACTTCTAAAATTTCATAAAGATACCTTACTATTGATTTCTATATGTAAGGTAAATGATCCCAGCTTCCCTGCTCCCCCAGCTCTTGCTGTGTAGTCCTGGAAGACCTGGAACTTGCTCTGTAGGGCAGGCCAACTTCAAACTTCTGACGGTCTTCCTGCTTTTTGAGTACTGGGGTTACAGGAGTGGCCCATCATGCCTGTGTAAGCGTTTGGTTTCTTTTTTTTAAGTCTTTGATAACAAAGATTGAGAAACACTTTGTAGTGTCAGTGTTAGTATTTGAAGGCTCTAAAATCTAAGTAAGTGTTGATCTCATCAAGTCTTTCTGTATTGTTGCAGGTAATCATAGGTGTTTTCTTGATTAATGATAAGATGTCTTGTGTGTGCTGCTTTCTGTTGAGTTCTCTTTTATGTTCTTGACTGTAGCCTCCACTTAATTATGACGAACTCCTCCCATTCGCCAACCCCTGCTTGTCTGATTTGCCAGTGTCTTAGAGTTTTTTTTTTTTTTGTAATCTTCATTTATAGGATTTATATGTATGCATTTTGGTTTTCTTCAGAGTTCTGCTAAGTCCATAAGCTGCATTGTAAAGCATTCTTTCTCCTTCCTGTCTCTGAAATAGTTCCTTCAAGGTTATGCACTCCTCACAGAGGTGAAAGGTGAAGAGGAAGGTTCTAGGCCTGAGAGTGTGTCCTAGTGATGGGGACTTAAATGTATCCCACATGTGCATGGCCCTGGGTGTATTTGCCCTCAGCCCCACTTGAAAATTCTAGAGGAAAATGTGCCTGCATGACTTTCGTAGGTGGAAGAGTTTTTGGTTTTGGTGTGTTTTTTGTTTTTTGTTTTTGTTTTAGTAGAGCACAACAAGTACTAGCCAGAAGAGTAAAGATTGATCGTGTGTATAGTCATCAGGTAATAGTATTAAGAAAACAAAAGGGCAAATGACAAATTAGAAAATGTGTATGCAGTACTTAC